AGAGTTTGTTGGCATCCGCGGAATTTTTTATTAGATATATAAATAGGTCAGTTTTCACAAACCGAAAGTGTTTTACGGATAGGACAAACACTTATTTCAGATAACTCATATCTCGGTTATTTCAACGAATCTTCGTCGGGTTTTTGTTTTAAAACTAGACAAAATGGCAACAATGATCAGGGAGCCGGTTTTCTGTTTTGTTTAATTCCGGTTTCAGTTTGAAACTTTTAACTTCTGAAGATCTAACTAACCTACTAGCTGGTGACTTCATAATGACCCTGACCTCCGCTAACAACGAATATCAAAAGATTCGATCTTGAAGTTATTTTCCAGTTTTATGAAGAGTTCAAAATAGCAAGTGTTTGCCACTTTACTAGACTACCAATACTCGATACTGCATGGCGGATCTTAACTGTTGGCGTGAACTAACGTGACAAGATGTGACATGACTCGATATTCTGTGTTGACATGACATGGTGGCGTCGTTTGATATTATAGCGAAGGTTTTTCTTTTAAATATTTACTTTTATAATCCCACATTTTCATCCGAACGTATATTGTCGTCTCCCTGTGTAGCACATGGAGAGCGGGGTAATGGCAGACCGGTCGCCACATCTTACATACGACCCATGCATCTTTTCTTACTACATATTTATGTAGCCTTGTGATCGTCTAGAATTTGCCTCTAGCTGTCTTTACTTCTGCTTCACGCTGTGTGTTGCTTCTTACTGGTTTCTTAAGACGTTTGTTATAACAATGCAACAGTTATTTTTTACATTTTATATATCATATAGCTGCTTACAAATGGTACAATGCACAGTACATATTACAATATTAACTAGTCATTCTCCACCCTAGCCAGCCAAGCGGCTGTCTAGGAACTCAGATTGAACCTCTCTGGAATCTAATGGAAGTCTGCTTGAAAGTTTCAAATAGATATCTTATATAGCACTCACGTATATCACGCATAACAAAGCGTGTTCATGGCCCTGAACTTGTGTAATCAACAAAATGATTGGTTAAATTAATCCCAATGACGCAATAGTACTTTCCTTGCACACGTGCTCTCTGTGGTATTTTATAGACACATGTTTTAGCTTAATAACTCTTTTTTATATAACAATATGTCATTTATACCCTAAGTTGATTTAGTACACACCATATATAATATATACTATTCAAAAAAAGTAGGGGATATTTGATTTTTAAGTGTTATTAAAGTCACCTAATGAAACTGACGAAGAAACAAATGACAAAATGAAATTAAGTTCACATTCATCGATTTATTCCAAATGATCGTTAGACTAAGTAAGGCACAGACTGACCATTATAAGGGTAAAATGATACCCGGGGTCAAACAGCAAAGTTACCACAGCATCACAACCAAGTCAGTAACGGGTAAATCCTCCTCTGTTTGCCAAACAAGCATTGATCCGACGTGGCATACTCCGAATGAGACGTCTAAGGTCATTTTGGTCCAGATTGTCCCATTCCTGTTGCAACGCAGCAGCAAGTTCTTGGACATTGGCAGGACGTTGTTGACGTTGACGTAACCTCTGTCCAAGCATGTCCCAGACATGCTCGATGGGGGAGAGGTCGGGACTCAGTGCTGGCCAAGGTAATGTGGTGATGTTCTGTTGTTGGAGGTAACCTGTAACGATCCTGGCCCTGTGATATCTTGCGTTGTCACCCTGGAAGATGAAACTGCGGCCATGACGTCGTGCGAACGGCACAACATGGACTGCCAAGATGTTGTCCCGGTAGTACTGGCCTGTAACACGCCCTGCAACAACATGTAAAGCCGTTCTTCCAGCAACAGTGATGCCTCCCCACACCATAACAGAACCACCCCCAAATCGATCATGTCTGATGACGTTAACGTCTTGGAAGCGCTCGTTTCGACGACGCCACACCCTCCTACGTCTGTCCAAAAAATCAACAGTGAACCTTGACTCATCTGAAAACATCACATTGCTCCAGCGTCGATTATCCCAGTGTTGACGATCCCTACACCAACGACGTCTTGCCTGAATGTGATGATCTCTCAAACAAGGGATCACGCGAGGACGTCGGGCGCGAAGGTGACCCCTATGCAGTCGATTCCGAATCGTCTGGCCACTCACTCTCACACCAGTGTCTGTTTGAAGACGAGCGCTGATCTGATTTGCTGTGATGACACGATTTCTCAAGGCCAAGGTACGGATAAATCGATCCTGGGCTTGAGTTGTCGCCCTTGGTCGACCTGAGCGTGGTCTGTCCTGTACAGATTGTGTATCACGGTATCTGGACCATAGTCTGCTTATGACAGACTGAGAAACATTCATCGTCCGCGCCACAACCGCCTGTGTTGTGCCGATCTGTAGCATGCCAAGGGCACGTAACCTTTCATTTTGGGTAAGCCGACGCATATCAAAATTTGTTTTCTGGTCACTAAAACAATTAAACTGATGTTTCCACCCTGGAATTCAATGCCACAATGACTGTAACATTCAAAGTCAGAGTCGTGCAAATCTTGGGTTGGACCCCCATGATGATCCCAAGCATCACCTGCATTCCATGCGGTAGCTATTGGTGCGTTTGGGCGTCACATGTAACTGGAAATGTTTCTTCTGTTAGGTTCTTTAGTGACTTTTTTCGTAGTCATTTGCATATTTTAGTATTATGCCCCCAAAATCAAATATCCCCTACTTTTTTTGAATAGTATATATGTGAATATCTGTGAAACTATTAATTTGCCAAATATATTAATTAATGAAATATAAAGTCATTTTATTTCTCTATTCTTTGTCTATAAATTTAAAAACAATGTCGCCACGACTATATTGCTACATTTGGTCCGTCCGTCCGTCCACATTTTGTTTGTGGACACTCTACAGAGCACAATTTTTTCCCGAAATTGACGAAACTTTGATATTGGTATGTATCGGACTGTAACTTCGTGGATTATGGCCCCTGATTGTAAGAAAAATCACGGTCTTAGCTTGGCTCTATCCGATTTTGATGAAACTTAAAACTGATGTCTATAGGACACAGATCGTGTTTTCTTTAAACATTTGTGCATATCGGACCCCAACTTCCTGGATTATGGTCCCAGATTGTACAAAAAATCGGAATTTTTGCTTGCTGACCCTCCTAGGGTCACAATTTTGCCCCATGTTAAAAACCGTTCATCTATATCATCGTTACACCATAAGAACGGTTGAATGTGAATTTTTTGAAAAGCGTAGTGAAAATTCCCGTCAAAATGGCCGCTCCCATTTACTCAAATAGTGTTATAGACTGTAATACCAAAGCATGTTTATATCCCAAAGATCTGGTTCCTTTCGGTAACATCCTGGATCATGGTCTCTTATTATTTCTTTAGCTTGTTCTCTGTCCATCTCTTGCAAGATGTGGGCGTATCTTCAAAGTAGATCATAGAAACCTATAACCTAACCCATGGCTTTATTATCTAAATCGATCCACCTTTAAAGAATATCAATGCCTACACATCACTGCTTCGCCATCTATAAATTTAAGAGAATTGACAAAATGACACACCTTTGTATGTTGTCATATTGCATATTCCTACTTTAGATACTGGAAAATTAACTTAATGTAAAAACCAACTTTTACTCAGACGTATGTCACAGTATTACGCACGCCTGTCAAACAGATAATAAGTATGCTATGAGCATTTTTATCGATATAAGAAACCCCATGAATTAGCTGTTGTTTCCACAAATAAATTTGGCTTTGCAAACTGTTGTTAGAATGTATGCTCTGTATAGGCGTATTGTAATATAGGTTAAAACAGTCAGTCACTTGCTGTCCATGCATATTTATTTAGCCTACGTGATTTTTTTTTCTTGGCCAATTCTTAAAAAAAAAAGCGATATCATTACGTCTGTTGTAAATATGTCACATACACCTCTCAACGTGTATTTTAACACTATTTAATTAGCCCACTGCGATAGATCTTCCTAGTACCGCTCGATAACAAAAGGACACCTATGTTTTCCTGGTTATGTTACTTAAATCTGAACTTTTTCCTTATCTCCAATCCAGTGTCTGTGAATAAATATTGTTTAGAAAAAAAATCAATAATAAAAAAATATTTAAAATATTTTTAGAAATACATATTTTAACTCAAACCTGTACTTGTTCGGCCTCTGATTGGGAAGAATTTGAAAATGTCAATAATCAAAAGTCACCTTAAAGGTTAAAACTTGTTCATTTACTAATGAGCTTTTCAGTTCACAGAATAAACTTGAAATTAACATTCATATGCTTGAGTTTCTTTTCTTACCCATGAAAATAATACGCAATACAAGTACGTGGCAAGAGACTGGATTATCTGTATTATACGTATAACAGTTATATTGTTAAAATTTTCTATTGTGTTCGCTTCTAGCTTCAAATAAAAACGACAATAAATAAACCGAACGTACTTTTAAATAAACACAACCCCTAAATAGGCACAGGCATGGTTACAATAAATACTAGTCCAACATTTTGTTTTTTATGATATCAAAGAAGAGTATAATTACTACTTTATAGTTCTTTAACGTCTTCTTCCTCGAAAGTAATATCACAGAAGAATTGCCACTACTACTACCCCGCATATAATCTAAACATTATATAAGCTGTAAAATATTAACACCGCTCCTCCCCAAGCCGACTTTCAATTGCTTTTTTTTCTTTGTGCAACGGTGAAGTGTTAGTCTCAGTTAGATAAACTAAACCATTAAATCTATTTTATCTTTATCTTTGTTCTAACACAGATTTTAATAATTGTTTGATCTGATGATTGCAGACATGAAGAGGATGATTCCTGTCGATTTTCAGCATTTACCGACAGTTTGTTCTAGAGGGTTTTTTTTGTAGAGTGTATGTCCTTATCACCAAACATTGTATTTACCACAACACAACTGCCAATTGTAAATACATTATAAAACTGTTAATATATTTAAAACCACAGATGTAAAAATAAATGTAGCAATGAAACTCGCAACTCTGACTGTAAGTTCTGGCAGTTTTTATTAGCGTTAAAGTAATAGTGCCTGCTATTACAAAGTTTAAGTCTGCAAAACAGAGGTCAAAATGTGGAGAAAGGGCAGAATTACTTTGTCTGAAAATTTCAAATCACAATTGAAGCGTCCCGAAAAGATTTCTAATTTTGATAAACGATCACCTTCCACTATAACTCCACATGGAATAGGATATTTTCTATAGGAAGTGGTCGGAATATAGTCTTACACCACATGCTTATGGGTGTGTTACCTAGGAAGTGGAGTGGGACATAATAATTGTCTGGGTAATAATGTCCATCTCAGGCTGAATTACTAAATAATGTGTGCGAAGGTATAGTTTTTGACTAGGCGCCATGGCTTAGAAAAGTATGAAAACTACGTTTTACAAGCAATTTATAAACTGGCTAAACACAAAACTTATTATAAAGATATATTTACTGGTAAAAGATTATTAGGCTGTAACATAAAGTGTTAATGTTTGTGAAAATTAACTTTTGATGAAGTATTTCTGATCCTTGTCGTAATAAATAATGACACGTAACCAATAGTGGTATCTTTGTCGGGCTAAAATCTTATCCAATCCTGTAACATTTAGATCTAAAATACCAATCTAATCCTTACGACAAGCAAAAGATTCCCCCCACCCACAATCCCCAAACGATGATCATTAAAATGCGCATAATTGAACATGACGTATACGTAGTTCGGAAAATATGCTTTTAGGAATATATTTACAAACAGGAATTAATGCGGATTCGTCATTAGATCGACTTAAGCAGAACCAGTTAAATACATGTATATTTCGCATTTGAAATAATAATCCAGACAAACGAAAATCTCGCGTCAACTGAAAGAATTATATTTATAGTTTTGTAATAAAAATTCTGATCGCTTCAAACTATGAATGAGCAGTGTACATGTATATATTTTGTAGAAGAGCAGTCTGTTTAAATGGTGGTTATATTAATGGTCGTAGTTGTTAATCTTCTTGTCTTCAAGTATTACGGGGAGATATATCTTAAAAAATCTGAAAAAAATGTATTAAATAAAATAATTACACTGCGCGTAATTACATACAACTTATATTTGTTCTCTTTTGTTTTTTCAATTATAGACAGCTATTGCGTCACTGTTTAGTTAGGAATCACACATTGTTGAGTGTACAGAAGAGATAACGTAAGGGACCCATGTCATCTGAACCGGTTCTAGTAATCGATAGTTCAAGCACCCCGATAAAACTGAAATGTAGACTGTGTGGGGAGTGGCCACAGACACTAATACTTTCATGTTCTGTATGATCAACTTTTGTTTAAACTGTGCATGCTGCCCTGGGTGGATGCAATGATACAATAAAATCTTATCTTATGTTATCTTTTCTGGGGCTGACACATTGAATACGTTATGACATGGGCGTCAAGCTGATACACGTCTTTAATAAAATTTGTTTGCCGACCGAATCCAACCCGCCCCACCACTTATATTGATCATTTTGTCTTAAACTTGTTCAAACCGATTAATTTACTATTGTTTCGAGTTAGTTAATGCGGGAAACTTACGATAGACAGTTTTAATGACATTTCGTAATTAAACTGGAATTACACTGGATATAATTCTATGGAATACAATTACTATTTATTAGTAATTACTTGGAAGGGTAACTAAATTAATTGATCGGTGATAATCAATAATTGTATTCAACAGAATATTTGCATTCTATATATTTGACACTCATCGATCAAAAGTGCAAAAATGAGGTTAAATATACAAGTAGTAATCTTATATTCTTAATACAATACAGAGATGTCGTGGTATCAGAGGCCTGCTCATCAAATATCATCTTCCTAACAGTTTTTTTAAATTCGATCACTTTTGAGGTAATTGATGTCATTTGTTTGATTGGTCATAATTAACTAACTTCTTGTTAACCTGAATATAATGTCCGATCATTTCTTATGTCAAATCAGAGAACCCTGGTCGAAACATAGCTCAATAATATACAGTTATTGGATTACATAGAATTGAATTGTGCGCATCTTATACCAGCTTAAAAAACTCGGGTCCGGTTATCAGATTCAGTAACTGGTAAAGCTAAATCCTAACAACCAATAATACCCAACCCATCCAATCAGGCCCATAGTTAGCGAGGGGGGCAGACCAACCAATGGCACTTGGCTTTATGGGGCGCCCATACTGATAAGGGCACGTTGGTCGTTCATTTCGTAGTGCGTCCAATGGAATAGGCGCGGTTCGGCACCCCTCCCCCACCCCCAGCTATCTACGGTCCTGTCAATGACCTTATCAGGATTGCAGTATACGAGGGTAATATATAATTGGTGCATATGACTACGAGGTAACTTACCCTTAGATTTAACTCATCAAATCGACTTGCCCACTCACCCTAGGTTCCATCCCTGGAACAGAGCATTCATATTTGTAATTTACTTCAGTACCAATATTTTAATTTTAGTTTTCGAATTGAAGATAGTACGGTACGGTAGAAATATCTCTTAAAGTTTTCGTCAAAGAGCAAGGCAATATCTACCCACTTGATAGTGTATACGATAGAATTGTCGAAATATTGAATATATTCTTTTATAGTACTTAAATTCCCACACCTATGGTGGCTGATTGGTATCATGTCGTAATGTCGTGGTGTCGCCCACTTTGGATAGCGTATGCCTATCTTCAATAGTCCCATTGGTTCGGAAAAGTAGGAAAATGAAATGAAATGGGGTTTAATGTCCGACTGTTTTGCTCCAGGAGCCACATGTACAGTGTTGACCGAGAAAGTTCATCAATATTTTCCGGCGTGGCGTCCCCTTTTCATGGGTGCAGGAAGGAGGCCCTGACCAGGACCGAGGTCCCGTGTATACATTGGCGTGCGCGTAAAAGATCCCTTGGCAATTAGAATTCGATATAAGAGTAGGCCGTAGCGCCGCTGTCCTGGCAAAATGTCCCTCATAACACACTGAATGGTGTAAGCCCGTCTTCATTATCCCAGTCGGAGCAGAACAGTAGGACGTAATACTCCATTTTATTACATTTCGTTCTGCTACAGTGATACAAGGCGGAGTTCCTGGCAGGTGATAACGTATAGTCTTTTGGATGGGACAAAAAATCGAGGTTCCGTGTACATTCAATTTTCCTACTTTTCTGCACCAATCGGGCTATTGAAGATGGGCATACGCTATAATATATGCAGAGTGTTATGACGGAAATTTTCAATGGACCGTGGCATTTCTTCATCGAAATTCAACTGTCAAGGATTCTTTTATGTACACGCCAATGTCTACACAGGAGCTTGTTTTTCGTCTCATGTACACAACTAGACACTGCATTTTGCCTGACCCCTTGTCCTGCACTACCGGCAGGGAGAAACCACCCTCAAAATCCCAGGGAACTTTCTTGACCAACACCAGGATCAGTGTATATAATCATAGTATTCTGAGGAATATGGTCGATAACCTGACACCACGACAACCCAACATCACGACAACCCGACATCACGACATCGAGTTGTCGTGGTGTCGGGTTAAAATGTCGTGATGTCGGGTTGCCACGACATCACGACATGATACCAATCAGCCACCATACACACCCGGTTTCACTGGGTATAAAAATATATGTGTGGGATATATAAGCCACCAGTTTATAGTAAACATCATATGATTTTCTATAGGAATGAAAAGTCGATTTATCTTTAACTGCCACAAAATTCCTCTAATGCATTAAATATACCAGATATATAAAATCCCTACTTACATGTTACGGTGTCATAAGGATGTTCTTCCTCTGAACCACTTGTTGGAGTTTCTATAACACTGATTTCACGAGCAGTATTCCCATCCTGTCTGTTGTCGTACAGGACGGCATAGGGACTTTCACTCGACTGTCCTGCTATTGTACTGACTTCCATACCAGCAAAAGGCCTAGCATCTGAAAAGGAATATCTAAATTATGTGGCCTATGGGCTGTCATAAAACCATTCAATTCCGTAATTTCATAATAAACCCCGATTAGTTATTTTTCAATTGCATTCGTAGTTTTCATATAGAACCTACCTACTTTAAAATAACAGAGTGTTGGTTTATCATAATGCTTTACTGGTTTTGCAATGATTGTAGAAAATACTCTGCTAGAGTGCATTTCAACAACATGGTTGTCTATTATCAGTATAAATCTCTGGTTTGATATTATTTATTTACTTTTATTTCATTTTTTACATAACATTATTAAATTTACTTGAGTATAGTGTGTCGTATAGTATGTTAGCATACCACGTTACATGCAAACATACCATGGTCACTTTTTCCCATAAATATTAAAGGTACCTGAATATGAAAAGAAGCCAATTGGCCTTAAACCCTTCATGTACTCAATCAGAGAGTTATTTCAATTTCAATTACTCCAAATTTGTAAATAAATTAAACCACATTGAATTGAAATATATTACACCCTGAAGACTATTCAGATTTTCGATTCTGAAATATTTTTTTTTGCAATTATTACTATTATTCTTTTGTAATTCTTTAGTATTATATTTTTTTTGTAATTATTACTATTATTTTTTTGTGATTCTTAGTATTACTGTTTGGTAATTCTTAGTATTATTTGATTGAATTCTTAGTATTATTTGATTGAATTCTTAGTATTATTTGATTGAATTCTTAGTATTATTTGATTGAATTATTAATATATTATTTTGCAAAAAAAGGTAACAAGGTTCAATAACTCAGTCAAACTGACGACCACGATATCCAATGGTCCGAAAGTGTCAAGTAAATTTACCAAAATAACACAGATAGTGCATGTACGTAAATCTACACTAAGACAATATTATATGGGACAACAATCATAGGTTTATTATACACAGGATACATATCCTCTTAAAATTACATACCTGAAGCGTTATGAAATCTGTAAAACACAAACAAACATTGAATTGGTTAAATGTATAACTATTCTTAAAATTCGTCCATTTCTCGAAAATTTTGTCAAAATACACAAAACATGTTTTTTTGCGGTAGGAAAAGTAACGAAATAATGTGAAAATAAACAAGACACGTGAGAAGTGAGTTTATTGATCACGATGAAAGCCACACATTAGACACATTTATTGCGAATCTTACAAATATTTTAATTAGCCGGAAGCTCAAGGGACGATGAGGCGGTACGTATGTTTGTTTTTGTGAAAGGCAGGACCAATAACAAGTGTCTCACGTATAGAAACAAACAGTTGAACATTAATCGTCAGAGTAGAAGCCATAGCCAACAGGACGCGGGATAAGAACAGGAATCATCCAGGAGAAGGAATGACCAGAGAGAAAGGGATTATAAACAGAACCAGAATAATCATCAACACAGGGCTAAGAACAGGGAGGAAACCACCAGTTGGACAGATGCTAGAACAGAACAGAAAGTTACCAACAGGACTGGAGCTATAACAGGACATAAAGTATCAGTTCTTTAACAAATTTCTGCCTTCTTCGAAAAGCTGACCAACAAATATGTGCTAATAAGACGGAATGATGCAACATTTTCTGTTCAAGTAAAGGGCATTTTGGGTTAGTCTAATTTTGTCTTCACGGCCCCTCTATTAATACTATAAAGATAATGTAGTATTACTTACCGGTTTAATTCTCGATTCTGACCTGTTAACGAAATTCAACAGATTGTTTAGAAATACAGGAAATATACTTATAACTTTTATCGCCATATCTTTATGTACATAAATAATCTTTCTCTTTCCCTATAAAAACATCTAAAGCTATAACATAGGATACATGTTTTACATCCCACCCACCCACCCACCCACTCCAAACCCCCGCGGTTTAAATCTTACTATTGTATTGGATACATGGTTGTTTTTTTTCCAGGTAAGTTAAATTAAAGGGACATTATGAGAGATTAGATCAAGAGTTTACAGTTATCGCTATTATAGTTAAAAAGAAATGATAACGTAAATAGAATATGCTGAAAATTTCAGTCGAATTGCTACACGCTGAACCGAGATGTTGGCTTTTGAATTTTAGGCTAGCCTCGATCATCATTACTAAAGTCGGTACGATAAAATACAAATTCTCGATTATCCATTTTTACCATTAATTATTTTTCAAAATATGTATCCCAATCCGCTAAATATCACAGGCTGGCACCGAGAGTTGATTATAGTCTGGTTAAGTTAATTAATGTCTAATTAATAATTTAGATAACATTTCAGGCCTAAAGAAAGACCTGCAATAGGCAGAGTTAGCTCTTGCATAATGTATGTTTAATGAAAGAATGTCGTGTTGTAACAATTTACCTCTAACATGACGTTTTCTGTAACATACTGCTGCAATTACTACAACCACGATAATCACAATGATGGCAGCTGATATTCCAACACCTAATCCAACGGTTTTCATGTTGGTCGTATTAATCTTGGGTTGGCCACGTACTCCTTGTTCACCATGCCCTAAAGAAGCTAAAAAGGACAACAGAATTGGGCTACTAGAATAGAGGAACGGCATAATCGTGACAATAAAATTAATCTCAAACCGTTTCATCCTCCACTATGCCAACAACGGGCTCCCATCATGTTTTAGTGGTGCCTTGTCTGATCCCATAAATGTGTACCACAGGGCTCACTTCTCGGACCCATTTTAATTCTTTTGTATTAATTTGAATACCTGTTTTCTTCCCACTGTAAAAAATATCCATTTTTTATGTGGCCGAATTCCGTAATTTAACACCTTTTTTCTGTTAATCGATGGATTTTTTGGAGAAATTGTGTAAATTGTCTGAATTATTTCTTCAAATTACGTGTTTTATGTATTTCTGTGGAATATTCAGTATTAAACAGGAAATTTCCGTGAAATTTAGGGATAAAATGTTTTATTCCCATCTATAACGGACTTAATTCTGTTATTTTACGGAATAAACGGTGGAATGACAAGGAAGTTACGTGAAATTTAGGGATAAAATGTTTTATTCCGTTCTGTAATGGACTTAATTCTGTTGTTTTACGGGATAAACGGTGCAACGATAAGTAATCGTATACATATATAATCATTCCTAATAATCATCATGTTATAGTATTCATTTCAATTTATTAACCATAATATGAAGAATCATATTTTGTAACGTTTGGTATGTTAATTGACATGTATATCTAATTTCCATTATTTATAAGATCTATAAAGTGTATTGTTATTCATCATACGGTAATCAGATTGTAAGTATTTTCATAAATATGTAAAAGTATGTTTTAAGGCTGCGGGTGTTAAGGTTGTAATATCTGGTAATCAAGCACGCTAAAGTCCGGATAGTACAACCGGTTGGCCATGGCCAGTTAAGTCGGGTTGTCTCTATGGCAGAGTCTGCATACCTGCGAATTGATAATACCGCAAACTTACATCTGAAAGCCTCCAACCACTGACGAGTAGCGGTTTGTGATACCTTGCTCTCGATTCTTATAATAGCGAAAAGAGGTTACGTTTAAAAATTATTTGCGATATCACTTCGGTGGAAGCGGACGTTAAATAAAGCTACTTCACGCACGCGTATAAAGTCAATGGTTAATTCAATGAAATTTTTATCACCTTCATGGTCAGGAAACAAAATTTACCAGGATTTTTTTTTTCTGTATTTGAAAATGGAATTTATGTTAATTGAAGGAATTTCTGTAAATTACAGGAAAAACAAATACGGATAAAATTTTCCTGGTAAGGCAACACAAATAAAATAACTTGTTTCTCGGGCACCGCCCGCACGCAAAATTGGTTGCGCGTGCAGTCTATTTATTAGTCTTGATGAAAAAAAATAAATATGTAACGCCCGCCCGCACATCGACAAGCAAGTCGTAAAAAAAATATCCCGCATGTACCTACATCCGCCATACATGTATATCTATTTAAATGTATTAAAACTGATTCAGATGAACATGCTGTCTTTTTTATCCGAACAATGGCGAAGTTTGGTAGATTTGCCTTTTTTATTGATATCGAAAGAACCTCCATTTTGTATCACGTGATATTAATTACCTCCCCTGATAAACTAGAATTTGATTCGTGTTAAAAGTCATTGGCGACAATATTTCAGTCGGTCCTTGTTTGGAAAATCCTATTGATAAAATAATGAACCGTAGAACAGGTTAATTAATTATAGCTAAGAATACGATACGATGACGATAGTCGTCATAATGCATACCTTAGAATCTGGGTCATTATTAGCACATTTACGGTAGTTTCGATAATCCGGAAAATAATAATTGGATTACCGATTTGATGGTTTTACTGACCAGTTGTTAGTTAGATTTAAATAGTCATTCAATATAAACACCGGATAGAACACCGAATATCCTGAGAAACACACCGAATATCCCAAGAAACAGTATTTCCGGCAATCTCCAATACCGATGACACGGTGTGACATGCATTGGTTGGAATTCGGTAAATAATTATAAATAAACCGGCGATACTAGATTTAGTTTTAAATACTGTTTACCATGATTATTATTTTTGATACACCTGGTGAAAGAGGCTTAGTTTTTAAAAATATTGTTGTCTTTATGGAGGGCTATTACATAGTCGTATGGAATTTTATTTTAAACCAATTTCAATTATGTGAATTAAATATGGAAAATTATTTTCCTTTCAGTCAGTGTTCAGTCTCAGTGTTTTAGTAGACTTGATTTTGGGTTTATGTTTTAAGTATGTACAATAAAGTTGAATATAACGGAAAGCAAAAACGTAAACAAGTAATGACTTTCTCATTTAAAAAAAAAAAAAAAAGAAAGACCGCCCTCCCGCCCCAACAATTTTCAGCAATAGCCAAATTTTATTTTGCACCATCAATGAGTAAAAAAAAAAAAGAAACCGCCCTCCCTCCCTACAGTTTCAGCTGTCAGTTGCCCGAGAAACAAGACATTTATTTTGTGTGGCCTAATTTTTTTTTCCGGAATTTTTTACGTTTTTTCACGGAAATTTTTGTTACAGTGTGGGTTACAAGCAGTGAACAGCCTGACTGTCTGAGTTATCAACAATTGCAGCATAACATTTGACCGACCAAAACATATTCTACTCTAAAAATATCAGTGAAAACAATAAAAGACTGATAGTAAAATTACTATTACAATATATTTGTACAAATTTGCAAATAATGGGTTCATAGCAAGTTTATAAGTTACACAATGTGCATCTTAGCATACATAATGCGATTCCATAATTAATATAAAGATCTTGTACCATCAATCCCAATGAAAAATCATCACACTAAAAGATAAATTACAGTTATAAAGAAATGTTAGAGATAACTGGACCCATTTTGCATTATGTGCTATATACAATGGACAACCTGATTATCTGTAATATCAACATTTGTAGCACATCTTTTTGTCCCCAAATTAAATACTGCATTATACAATTATTAATATAATAATAAATACAAATAATATATTAATGGTAAATGTTGAATTCTAATATTTTCTTATAACTTACATAAAACATTAACATGAAAGATTTTACTATGCATTTTTGTAATTGGGTCTCCATTTGTTGGTACAAGCTTTGTCATAGTTTCACACTTATAGTCACCACCTTGGTTTTTACTGATATTTGATAAATCCAGATATCTCGTGACAGCTGCGTAACTTCCATCGGGGTTATACCATTGGTAATTTGAAGGTTCTGGATTCGAGTCGACAGAACATGTTAACTTTAGGTCAGATTGCATGGTAACATTAATTGTTTCTTGTGAGGTTTCAGTACTTGGTCCATCTGGAAATTTGAAAAAATAAGTAGCAAAACTAATGTTAATACATCATTACCATGGTACCTACACGGGACGGGAAATATGTTCCCGACAACTAACCCTGTGGTAAAGTCCGTCTGTCAATGATTTATCTATCAAATATCGAGGACAATATAACACTGTTACTAAAATAACATGCAAATATCCCGATATACGAAAACGTAACCCAGCGATAATCCATATTCCTGAAGCAATGGCCCGAGAAATCCCTCTTTGGCCATTGCTGGATTGGCTTCCTATACTTGAGCTTTTGAGGGAGTGTGTCTGTTCTTCCTGTTCAATCAAATCTATCCCAAGTACAGCAACATGACAGCCCTTCGTTTAATCCCTAAAACTTTGGACAGTGATTTAAGGTATTAAAGACGGTGATAGTATTGTTCGTCTCCAAACAGTATTGTTTACATTGTATCTGTGTTGATAGCCTCGTTTGTCACGCAATTAATTTTTCTGCAATATTCTGCTACGCACTGGTTAATTGGGCATAATAAAATCGTCATGTAAACATATTTGTCCAATTTGGATCTCTGTTTAAAGCGTAATCATATTGTTACGCAGTTAGCTATTGGTTGTTAATCGGACTATTGACCAGTCATAATTTGGAACAGAAATTTGCTTCCTTTACAGCAGTGTTAAATGGGATTAACTCTAATCAAAGTAACACTGCAAGGAGTATATCTACCAACACACTTTGTATCTACATTATATCTACGACCTACTTGTCTTAAATCTTTGCAACTTGATGAATCACTAAACGAAGACCCGTTGCTCGAAACTTAATATTAGGAATAGTGTTAGAAATTTTAAGGACGCACTTACATAAAATGTGAACAATTGTTATCTTTGATAATCTGGCAGTTATTGGGTGAGTAGGAGCTGGCGATTCTATCATGGTGTTAGAAGCAGTACACGAATATTCACCAGATTTAGTTCTGTCTATATATGGCATCGTTAAAGTGGTATGTGTTGTTGCTTGGAAATCATATTTAGTTAGATCTTGGCCATTGGGACCAGTCCATTTAAAGCTAAGAATACTCGGATTAGCTACTGCTGTACAAGTTATAGACAATGTGGTACTCTCGATAACTTTCATTTCCAGTGGTACGGTTACATTCGGTGGATCTAGGAAGATGAGAATATACATTTTCGAAATCTTGAATTTTGTAAACAACGATTAAAGACAAAAAATGTTAAACTTAGATGATATCCATAGTTATAAAAAGGTTACAACTATATCACCTCCATCGTCAATTAATGGCAAGGTTGATTTCACATCCTTGTTTCATGTCTAACTAGATCACAAACATTGGAGTTCGTTATAGAGTTAGATATAAAATCGACCTCATAACTATTGATTCCTTAATGATTCGTTCTCACTAACCAGAAGATACCAAGTTCGATGTCCGTGTTAGCCGAGAACGATCTTTAGGATTTTCAGTCTAGCATAGCGTCTAGTCGTAGGGATGGGACACTTGAGAGAATGAAATTGAGTTTAATGTCCTACTTTTCTGTAACAACTGGGATAATTAAAACTGGGAATACGCCATGCAATAGGCTACCAAGTGTCAATTGTTCACTTACGTGCAGAATAACCAACAGATGGGCGCTGTTTCTTCCTAAGCCCTCTGTCACGCACCACTGATAAGGGGAAACGACTCTGGAACTAAAGAATCCCGGGGACCAGGCGAACTTTCACGACCAACACGGTTACATCTCCTGTATAGTGAGAATTACTTACTGAGCCAGCCGAAGAACGGAGTCTACAATGTTCATTCAGAAATCAAGTCTGCCTATGTTTTGAATAAACCCCGTAGACTCTATTGTCTAAATTGTAAGAACTTGTTGATTCGGTGATATCTTGAACTCGGTGAATCTGGATATGGGGCTTAAGTTTTGGTTTAACTGAATTATAATAATGAAACCTACATAAGACATTAAGAATTATTGTAGCAGTCATTGTACTGCCGTCAATATCCACGGCACAGGTATAATTTCCATCATCTGATCTCTGGACTCTCTGGAGTCTGTAAATTGATGAACTTTGACCTGGAATCCTAATTCCGTTCTTCCGCCAGGTATAACCACTTGATGGTGTTGATGAGGTTGTATTAAATTCACATTGTATCTCAAGTTGTCTCCCTTCTGTCACATTATGTGGAACTGTCAGAGGTTTGATTATTATTTTACTATTATCTGAAATATGTTATATATAATAAAATTTACATCCTTGACTATTTTCTCTCGCGATCTTATAACAGGTCCAAGTCTTTTACATACTTTTGATAGAGGGAGAGAGAGAGAGAGAGAGAGAGAGAGAGAGAGAGAGAGAAATGGGGTTTAACGTCCACTCGACACAAACTAGGTCATTTCGGGACTAACTTATGGTTTAATTTTATTTCAATAATTCGCTTGCGCGTAGGGGTCTTTAGCAGTGGGAGGAAACCGGAGGACCCGGAGAAAACCCACGAGGTTGGACAGGCGACGCTACTCGGGATATTCTTGATCATATTTAGAATATAGTATTTTGGTTGTCTTATTTCGTTCTGGGATTTTTCGTATTTCATTGACCATTATGATCAAATTTTCTTGTTTTCGCGCGACTGAATGGAGACACTACAAAGACCAAATGAAATGGGGTTCAACGTCCTACTGTTCTGTCCCGACATGAAGACGTCGTTGCAAAAATTGTATACGAAATGCCCCAAATATCTTGTGACTAGATGTCCTTGGGGTTTTCTACAGACTCGATGATCGTATTCTTAACTCTGCTCCTGCATGGCCATGAAACTTGGTCCACAGTTAGGGGGTTAAAGGCGTTTAACGCATCACTTTTTCATGCTCATTAAAATTTCAAAATCGTTACCAGTTATCTTTTCTCGTGGAAATATGATTTGATCTACTGTAATCACCTAATCACCTATAGGCACAAAAACATATGTGCGTGCTTGTCGAAATAAGAGTCCTTTGAAGGCCACATCTCAAAGATAACGTTAGGCCTATAATTTATAATCTAGTTCATATATATATATAGTAAAAAGTATATTACCTATCTGACAGCTGATTTTGTCACTGCTTAAACTATAACCATTTTTACATCCACAAGTATGTTGTCCCAGCTGTTTTGGTAAACACAGTTGTTGGCAATCAGAAATTTCACACACACTGGAACCTAAATGTTAAAACAAAGTCCGTACTTTGGACTTATATTTCAGAAGCCGTAGCTACTTGATAAAAGATAATACCATGCCACACTATGAGCGAACTAAATTCCTTTTGTCATTAATTTGGTGATCGTTTGCGCTGGAAGAAAGCAATAACATGGAGTGGCGGATGATATTCAATCTGGACTACCGCTAGAAACATACTTTCAGGTTGACCAGTTCTTCACAGGATTGAAGAATCGTGGTTTTTGAACTCAACGCAGTGTCGTATTATCTTAAAGGCTGACTGGCAGTGTTAAAAGGGGCCCTGTTATGGATTAATACGGCACATACCCAACGCATTGCCGACGAACTCAACTGGTTTATATGAGCCCCACAACTAATTGCCCAAATATTTGCATTGTTATTTTTCATTGAAGACATGGTGGTTATACCTTGTGTTATCTCGCTGTAATTGTAGGCGTACATTCCATACGATCTCTGCAAAACAGATGGTCCGAACTGTTCCAGAAGCTCACCTGCTTTCGTCATACGACTAATGTACCTGTGGAAAGTATAAATGTGATTCATTTATTAGTCAGGTATTCGGAAAGGAAGAAAGGCATTTGGATTTGAATACTTTGGTATTTACTCATTTGGAGAATCAACGCAAATAGGAAAATAAACTATTCACGTGTAATTTTGTAGCCAAGAGTGGTCAAATGAAATGTATAGGTAGGTGTCGATTGCTTGCATGTTACGTTTTAATCAGGAAAAATCTAAATGAAATTTATTATAGCGTCAACAGAGTGACAACTTCAAATTATACTATTCTGCTTTTTTTGTCCTCCTCTGACCGAAAAATAAGTTTTAACCAATCCAAGTATCAAATGTACTGGTATCGGACTCATTTCTAAAATAATATACACCTGTTGTTGTCTCTAGCCATGTTTTAGCACTGATCAGCAGTGAATGTAGACCACTACAATCATTGAGTGGAATGACATTGGTGCGGCTTAATAAGCTCGAGATATTAACTTTTTTTCATCTGCAAATTAAATTCTAAAACATTTGTTTGAAGTATTAAAAATATAAATAAAGATATTTGAAGTATATTAAGATAGAGAAAGAAAAAATAGGGTTTAACATAAACCTTACATAAACTAGGTCATTTCGGGACTAACATGGTTCAATTTTATTTCAATAATTCGCATAGTTGCAACATAGTTGCGCGTAGCGGTCTTTTGCTGTGGGAGTAAACCAAGATAAGAAAATATTTCCTATTTAGTGTAAATGGGTTGGTAAAATCAGTAAAAGGCACCATCCCGCCCGGAACAGTTAACGCAACAACGTCTCAAGTAAACAATGCACGAGTCATAGAGCCAATGATGGACGCACCGTGTTGTGACGTCACATGTAGAACACATATCTAAACTTATAATGGTCAGTTATCCTATACAGAGGTATAAGAAGGTTTTCACAATACCTCTGTGAAACATTATGCAAGAGCTAAATCTGTCTATTGCAAGTCTTTCTTTAGGCCTGAAATGTTATCTAAAATATTATATTTAGACATTAATTAACTTATCCAGAACATAATCAACTCTCGATGGCATCGTTAGCCTGCGATGTTTATTGGATTAGGTTCCGATTTGCTGTTCGACTTCCATTCATAATTTAATCATGAAATGGATAATCGAGACTATGTTTTTTATCCTCCCGATAGTGGATCAATTTGACTGAAATTTTCAGCAAGTTCCCTTTACAGTATCTAGTTTTTTACTATTATAGCGAGAACTGTCAGCTCTTTATCTAATCTCCGATAATGTAGATTTATGGATCTCTTAAACATTATTTCTTCTAACAATATAAGCTTGGCTTGTTCTCTATTTCTTAATATCTCCGCCACTATGATCAGTATATATTGAATTCCCCTCCTTTATCAAAATTGTATTTGATTTACATACTTAAAGTATTGACTACCTAGAAATTGTCGTTTCTAAGGTACTAAGGTACATATTGTTATTTCCATTTGACCGACGAAGTTGAAATCAATTATAGTTTCAAATATCTGATAGTATTACCCTCCAGCATTCTCTGTCTGTTAAATGTTTAAATACACGAATACCTACTGTTTAGTCCAATCATTGTAATAAAGGCGATTTCCCATCAGAACAATACTAAAATAGTGAGCCCTTAGTGATTGATAAATAACAGTTCTAGAACTTTTATCCATTGTTATAGATTCAATTCTGTGTAGTTTTGCATCTGCCCAATAAACCGTTTTAGCTGAAAATATTAATGTATAATGTAATAACACATGTTGAAAATGATAATGATACTAACTTATAAACGGGCTAATCTTTTATTTACGGGTTACAGAGAGGCTTCGGGGGGAGATAAGTATTGTTTCGTTTAGGTTTTTCTTTCCAGTTCTGTTTCTCGTTTACACGTATTGCAATGCCCCTAATATCTCTAGAAGCCATAAAGTCACCCGTGCTAGCTTTATAATCAAGATTACATTTTAAGCATTCACTATGAGTTCTGCCACAAGATTTTAAAGTAAAATGAATTTAAATTCATTATGTCTACTCGGAACAATCAGACCGAGTTTTGAAACAATCCGTTGAGAATGATACCGCGTTCATCAGATTCCATGAATTTGATCGTGAAAGGTCCTTCCATAGTCCTAAATGAACAATCTTACCAAGTTGTACAAATTCTATTGAAAACTTTTTCCTGTATCGCGTTCCCAAACTTAAAATGTCAGAATGTCCCCGGAAAGATAACTGTACAAAATGCAGTAGAAATTTGAAAGCTTGCTCGTGTTTATTTCTATAGTACTACTCTTCCTTGTGGGTCACTGAACAATCCCTGTAGACTTGGACTTAATTAAATATAGGCGTAGAAATACCAGAGAGTCATCTCTGTGACCGTTTGGTTATCATGGGTGATTTATTCCAAAACATATACAATAAATATAATTCGGACTAGTACCTTTTGTGTCTATAGCTAGACCATTCGGCCAGGTTCCATTTGGAAGCGAGAGAAACAAATGTCTGTTCGAGCCATCCATGTCAGCCATTTCTATTTTAGAATCGACACCCCAGTCAGTCCAAAACATCATTCTAGATTATTTTTAAAAAAATGGTTCTAGTTATGTTTTAAACATATTACATTTACAAAGGTCGGACTGTTCAAACATTCAGATTAGTGTATGGAACCGCTTGGTGTATGAGCGGTGTATAGGTAAATAGTGGAGATATATGATGGGAGTCACGGTATAATCTGAATGTGAGACCAACGAACTCTGATATTCATCAGGGGTGCCCATAATAAACCGAGACAAATAATCAATAATGTTACACAATGGTGTTGTGTTTTGACGATTGCGAGAAGAAGAATTAACTTCAAAGAGCCATGAACTCTGACCATAATAGTTATAATAATAATGTGCATATTTATAATGCGGTATATCCACAAACTAAGTTTATGCTCAAAGCGCGACACAATTACTATCCCGGTCTCTAGGATACAGGTAAAGCCTGATTACCTCCCTTTACCCCTGAACTCTTATTAAATGTTAGAAAGAGCCCCAACATCTGCTTCAAGGAGCGCAACAGTTTTTTGTGTAATACATACACCATCCTGAAATATATTTACGTCACCATCCGAAAACAAGTAAGCAACAAGACCATTATAAAACTCAAATCAGAAGGGTCATCAAATTGTTATTAATATATTCTGAAAGGATTCATATAGGATTATTTGCTTCAACAAAACAATAAAGTTTTAATAGCATTCGACTATCCAGTCACATCATGAATGTAATTATACGACAGTCTTTTAATGGGGTTTAAGCGCTTTAGGAAGTAACTTGCTGTCGAAAGAGTTAATACATGTAAATGTAAGAAGGATATTGGTCCTACTGTAGCGTCACCAGCAAACAGACTCGGTTCTATCCATGTAAAACCACCAGTTCATAAATGACGTTATAAATAGATTTTCTAGCTATCAGAGTTTTTTTTCTTACCCATCATTAGGAAGAAGAGCAATGGCTCTAGGCTCATCTAATCCTGTGTCAATCAATGTTAATCTATAATCGTAATTATCTAAAGATAAAACATTGATAGTATCTGGTCCTGTATCTGTATAGTATAATAATCTATTTATATAATCTACAGCCATACCATCTATAGTAGAAGCTGAAATAAAATCATATTTTCTTTGTTATCTGTCTATTATGAGAATATTATACACCTTTCAGACTACAGAAGTATATCGGTAATTGTCAGTTTATAATGGGCATAAAGGTTAAACAGCTTATTTCTCAAGCTGCTGTTGCTGTTACTGTAACTAAAATACCGAATTACTTGTAAATAAAAAAGTTTATTTATCGGGTTAACTCTTTAAAACGAGTTACGGAATTAGATATTTCGTTTTTGAAAACTTTTAAAAATAATTCCATATATTTAAACGAGTAACAGCATGTTGTAAGTGAAGAATCATGAGTTCGTTACAAAGCAATACTTATCTGCGCTAAGCTATTGGTGCCCATAGATCCCGCGAATTAGACAGTTGTCTATAGAGCTTAAAGGACAATATTGGTGTCAGTCATAACGTTGTTATATGAGACTGTGGGAGGATATCTGATAATTTAAAAGTAATTGACTGTCACTAGATAAGAGAAAACTAGAAAAATTGAAAAGGTCCGTGCATTACCATGATTTTATTAAGTATAGAATGAATAAAAACAAGGGGATGCACGGACTATTTCTATTTTTCTCATTTTTCCTTATCTAGTGACATTCGATAACTTTTTTGAATTATCAGATATCCCCTCACAGCGTTACATAACAACTTTTGGTCTTCGAAGGAATTAATAATATTAGTGAGCAGAAATTCGCTCGTGTATCTGTTATCACTCGTCACTCCAGTCAGGTTTATAGAAGGATAACTCGTGTTTTCCTTTTGAGTTCGTCACTTCCGTTTTTTTTTTAATTCATCATAACGCCTCTATCGTAGCAATGGTCTCTGTGATAAACTTATATTTGGAACGTGTTAACCAGTTCTATCACATACGTGATAAAGACTGACACCAATATTGTCCTTTAAGTCAACACACAAAAAAGACAATGCACCTTTAAGTGAGATTCATGGCTGATTAAAAGGACAGTTTGAATAATTCTCTAAGGTAATACAAAAATAAATTGAGTTAAGTTAATTAAAACTCAAAATCAGGAACCAGCATGATTTGAGTTAAGCAGTAAACTTGAGGACCTATTTTCTTCTCTATTTTCTTGGAGCCATTATTATCGCTGCAAAAGCATCTCGTTATTAGTTACATGAGCAACCGTATTAGATGAATCAAACACAGTCTTCTCGGAGTCGGTACTGTAGAGTCAATTTTAACAACATTATATCGAACGAGAAACGTATTTAGATTGAACAAATTCTATTGACGATCGACAGTTTATTCTTGCCTCAGCCTAAGTTAAAAGAACAATGATAATTTTGCGTTAAGTCAGTTCCATAGACCTGAAGCTAAAATAGAAAAAATAAAGGTAGTAAATTTTGTCGAGAAGCTGTTATGAGGCGACTTAAAATATGAAATCAGATTTAAACAAATCATCAATTTTACATGGATCAAAACAGGATAGGATAGTATTAATTTATTAGATTCGTACTTCCAGTTGATCCTGTTACAGTTTCTGCCATGCTCCCATTTAAGTCTGCCGTTCTTATCAAATGGTTGATGTTATCACTCCAGTAGACCTTGTCTGTTGTTGGGTCAAAGGACAGGGCTACCGGGTTAGCATTTAGCGTTATGGGTATTTTTTTTATTTCTCTTGTTATGACATCTAATCCGAATATCGCAGTCTGTGGTCCCTCGGCACCAAGAAGAAATTCTCTTTTGGCAACAACTGTAATAGTAAAAAACAAAATACGTGTTTCGGTGACATATACGGAGGAATTAGTACTGAAAATTGACATTGGGGAGTGATGTTTTTACTTTGCCAACGTGTTCCATTTCCCAATCGTGAACATTAACTATGACCTAACACAATGACAATTAACTATGACCTAACACAATGGCAATGTGTTCCAGATATAAATACTGAAAAGTTAGTTACTAAAATGCAGAAAGGTCTAAGATTTCCTCTATACATATATAGTCGAGCTCGTCTAAATTTGGTAATGTTACCATTTAAACGTGCACATTAGTATGCATATTAATATTGCCAGTGATAAAAAGGCTTGCTTATTATCCGTTTGACAGGGTTGTCTAATACTGTGACATAAATCTGAGTAAAGTTTTTTTGCAATACAGTAATATACAAAAGTATGTCATTTTGTCAGTTATCCGAAATTAATAGGAGACGCAGTGATGTGTAGGTACTGATATTCATCTATAGAGAGGTGTTATCTGGGCATATTTAAATTTAATACATATGTGCTCAATTTATTCTATAGGCTACATATTCAATTAAATGCTATCGACATGACTGACTGGTTTTAAATGGCACATGTCATAAACCTAAATGATAAGATTTATATCATGTTTATAAAGATTGTGTTCACAATTGTGTAGATATATTCTTACCCTAGAAAAAGGAGGTGGTTTCCCATTGCTGTTGGCCCCAGTGTAAAGAGAGAGAAATGGGTTGCGTTATAACGTCATTTCTGGATTAACATAATATGGTACAATTATATAATATACCTGTGCGTCCAGGTGGAACGGACAACCTAATTGCCACGTACAGTTAGACCTTATAATCTTACGCGCATGTGTTAATCCCCCCTCCCCCAGAAGTAAAAGTATAATATAATGAAAATAATTATTGCCTAATCTAATATAAAACAATTACATAAAATCCCCAATAGATCATAGACCATGACATTATGTGTCTTTTAAATCTTACTTCTAACATAGGAAGAAATATTAAATCTGGTTCCAGCACATTTCCACGTCCCACCATCTCTTATTCTTGAAACATTTCTTATATTAACTAATATTTTTTGTGGAGTTTGTTCCGTCAACGCGTAGTATTCACATTTAGAGTTGGTGGTACAATCGGGTATTGATAATCTATCTTTAGATAGAGAAACAACAGTATCTTCAGTATCAGTACAAGATATAACCCCAGGGTTACCTTCAACTAGAATAGGTGGTACTGCTGCTAGACGTGGTGCTCCTGAAACAAAGTATGTCTTCTATGTGGAGAATAGAATACGGATTTGTGGATTAATGGTATAAATAAAACAATAGTAAAATGGTGGTAGGGACGCTTATGTACCGACAATAGGATAAATTACAATTAGAGAAATACGAATTGAGGTGATTCAACTGCAAATCTTGCCACAGGATCGGGATCGAGTGAGGGGTGGAAAGGCTAATAAAAATAAATCGACGAATAGGGTTTAGGTAAAAAATGGTTCTGCGCTGATAGAGATGTAACTGGAAGATAATTATGGGAACGGTACTATTAACGAAAGTACAACAACAATAGTAGAACAAAGCAGTGCTGATACAATGGCAATGTGGTACACACAATCACATATATTTCAAAGATGTCACTGCGTAAGAACGAATTCAGAAGATTCAACAGCAAAACTTTTTGGGCTAATGCAGGAGACCTCGCCGAGTAGAGCAAGCAGCCAACACTATACATGCTGGCGTAGAAGATGAAACAAGATAGAATTGAGGAAATAGATGCAGTAGCCGGGTAAGATTGTCAATGCAAGGGACAAGTTCAGCAACTTTATCTGCACGCCCGTAAATACGTTAGTCTATCCGAAAACAGTTTTCCTATAACTTTTTTTGCCGTTTTACTCCAAGTCCTTAAGCAAATACGTAATCCATACGCGTAGTATGCATGGTTAGACACAAAAAGTCAGTCAGCTTTCGTCAACGGTAGCATACATTTATAGGTATAGTGGGACTGGGTGTTTTCTGTAATGTAATGAAATTTAAATTTGTGTATTTGGTATTTTATTCTGTGTATAGTCGTTGTGTATAGTCATCACCTGTAATCCATCAGTCTACTTTTTTGAGATCACAGCAGCACATTAGAGTGGTTTTATTTATTTTAATATGGTCGCAATTCTAATTAAATCTTAGATAATATGTTACACGTGACTGCATCTTTAAACTGTTCTGTTCTATACACACACTCTTCTTAAAGGTATCCAGTAAGTTCCAGTACTCTCCGCTAGCGCACTAGCAATTTATTTCAAATTTGACCTGAAGATTTCTTAGTTTTTGTTACGTCATCACCATGGTCATTCAATGTACTTTATAAGTTTAGTGTTTATTTAGTTTATACAGGTCACAATTCTATGGAATACAATTACTGCTTTTTACTGAGCGACGTTTCGACTAGGCTTCTCTAGTCATTATCAAGCTATGATAAAAAATGAAAATATGACAGGACAATATATACATGTACACCACAATGCTAAGTTAATGATGACAAACCAGGGATGTAACTTAATTACGTGTACCTAATGGTAATCTGATTTAATTGTACGCTAATAAGTAATAATACCAATTAACCTAAAAAATTGACTAATTGATTAATGGATAAGTTGTTGTGGAGTATACACAATGATTAGTGGGTTTTAATAATACAAACGTTGCAAGAAAATGAAAATTGATGAAATGTTATCAACGACCCCTTTCACTGAAATAAATACAAATGGTAAAAGGATAGATTGTTGTGGAGTATTTACAACGATTTGATGAGGTTTTGATAATGACAACATCCCACGAAGATGAGATTTGATTTGTGTTACGACCAAAATAATTGATATGTGGATGTTGATGCGAGTGATTACACTGATATACGAAAAACCCTTAGAACAATGACTGCACAAATGATCAATAGTCCCCTGAAGGCTGACAATTTAAAATATTGAGTGGTACTTCACTGGATGTTATGGTGATGTAGAAAAGCAGGGTTAGAAATATTGAGTGCATTAAATTACAATAACCGCAAGCCATTCATATACGACGACACAAACCAACGATGAACAGAGATCAAGGATTGTTCCTTCCCAGGGCGTATGATATTCTTATCACATAATCAAGGCTAAGCATAATTCTACTTTTTTCTTTTTTATCATATTTAATACTTATCAATATTCCAGTAACAACTTTAAGTTTGTAATAACCATCATAATATGCAAAAATGACAACTAATAATTCCCAACTATTTTTGCTTTTCAGGCATTTCTGCTTTTCAGGCCTGCGGTTATTGTAATTTAATGCACTCAATATTTCTAACCCTGCTTTTCTACATCACCATAACATCCAGTGAAGTACCACTCAATATTTTAAATTGTCAGCCTTCAGGGGACTATTGATCATTTGTGCAGTCATTGTTCTAAGGGTTTTTCGTATATCAGTGTAATCACTCGCATCAACATCCACATATCAATTATTTTGGTCGTAACACAAATCAAATCTCATCTTCGTGGGATGTTGTCATTATCAAAACCTCATCAAATCGTTGTAAATACTCCACAACAATCTATCCTTTTACCATTTGTATTTATTTCAGTGAAAGGGGTCGTTGATAACATTTCATCAATTTTCATTTTCTTGCAACGTTTGTATTATTAAAACCCACTAATCATTGTGTATACTCCACAACAACTTATCCATTAATCAATTAGTCAATTTTTTAGGTTAATTGGTATTATTACTTATTAGCGTACAATTAAATCAGATTACCATTAGGTACACGTAATTAAGTTACATCCCTGGTTTGTCATCATTAACTTAGCATTGTGGTGTACATGTATATATTGTCCTGTCATATTTTCATTTTTTATCATAGCTTGATAATGACTAGAGAAGCCTAGTCGAAACGTCGCTCAGTAAAAAGCAGTAATTGTATTCCATAGAATTGTGACCTGTATACTCTAGTTCAATTACTAAATGCCATTGAAACAGTTTATTTAGTTTGACTGTATTTTTATAGTTGAATCATCTTCAATTTGATATATTGTGTGGTCATTGTATATAATCCAGTGTAGTTTTTAGTAATTTGCAGTAATAGAATCTACAGATATGTGTTAACTTTTCAGGCCCGGTGGAGTAGGGGAGGGAGGGGTGGTTTGTCTAGTTTGTCCAGGTTATTGCACCCAAGTAACTATTCGATAAAAAAAGAGGCCCAATTTTAACATAGACATCGTGACTTCTAGAACGTAGACTTTCAGAAGAAAACCCTGCAAGGGTCGCGATTAGATAAATGAGCAGTGTCGATCTTTATTTCAAGTCCCTCTCCCGTCCGTTGTATCTATGACAGATTAGGTAATTAGAAAAACGACCGGATGCAGTTTTATTTATACTCTTTCCTTGTGTCCCTTATCCATCAAATAATTCACTGTTATCAGTTAACACTAAGTAAAGCAAGCGGTTACCATGAAAGATACGTCCACATTTTGCAAGAAATGGGTGGGGAAGAGGTAAAATCAACAGAGCTCATCCTCCCATTGAAGATCTTTTGATTTGATCTTTAACATATTTGTTACTGTGTGAACCATCGTAAATTTTAAACAGATTTCTTCGATTATGAACAAACTACTTAACTTTGGTTATTATAAACTTACCTGTGTGTTTGTAATCAACTCCCGTTCGATAAAATCCATTGCACAACTAATTATCACAACGATGAAAACAAGTTCTCTCTTGAAAAATTTGAAAATTTACTTGTAATTTCGACAGAGTCGATGTCAACAATGTCTTCGTGACGTATTGGTCGAATCCAATATACCTGTTGCGGGGGTTGGTTAACATTGTAAGATAGTTTGAAGGCACGATCATTTTGATCGTATATGGGTTTGGGCGACGAAAAATATCAATTGAAGGCAATTACATAGGAGATTTATATGGAAACCATTGATCGCCAGTCTATCAAATTTTCTTCACAATTAAATTATCACTGATTGCACGGATACTCGTAAAAATAAAGTCATATATAAACTATAAATATCCTATCTTCTTTCTGTTATAAATAATTTAACAAGGATCATGAAGCTTACCTCCGAATTCTCTGAGTGTATTTTTAATTTTATACGCATTCTTTCGATCGAATAATAACCGCTTCAGTAACATCTTTAAGCGTGTTGCGACAGCCCTCAACGTGCCTATTGGGTGCCCGGGTGGGTATATAATGCTACTAAGCCCGTATGACCCCGTAAGAAGCGGAACATTAATTCTCGATTCGACAGTTTTGACCGAAGTGTGATAAAGCCCGTAAAACGAATGTATAGTTGTGTTTGTGCGGCATGCGTGTTCAAAAGTAAATTATCCCATCCGAATTGCTAATCAAATAATTAGAACAAAATATTTCAAAAAGTAAAGCTATAAAATTTGCAGAGATTTTACTAGAATGTAAAAAACGGTAACTAAAATACAGGAATGCGGGTAGTTATGTGTGCGAACGCTCAAACTCAATGCCAATTGTCGTAGGTATCCAGACCACTCGGACCAAAGACTACTCGGGCTAAGACCAGTCGGACCAAAACAAGACCAGTCGGACCAATTAAATTATATTATAAGGCTAGACAATATGCTATTTTTTTATTATTAAATCACAATACAAAGAAGCAAATAATTCTTATACGGAATTCTTATATTTAGAGTTGTTTAGTTCAATTTTGTGTACGGAAAATAAATCAACGATTAGTTTTAAAATTAATTAATAATGGTGACAAAAAAAAATATCGATCTAATTTTTCTTATTTACTCTTGCAATGAGACTCGGTATGTCCAGACTTTTGACAGTTTCTACATATACGGGTATACTGTTCTTATCTGATGGCCTAATTTTACTTTTTCCACATTCGCGGTATCCCCAGTGGTTTCATTCCGTTCTACCCCACTAACCACTGGGTTAATATATGGGGGGGGGGGGGAGAGACACGTTTTCAAGTTATCCGCCCTTGATGTGTTAATATAAACAGCCCATAATAATACGAAGACCGGACGTTTATAATATGCACCTTTTTAAACGTGACTACAAGTGTGGTTATCGATATTTTGCGATTTGGGATACAATTATCAATTTATTCAAACAACACGTTATTATTAGTTCGAGTAGTCATATTAAAACACACACAATTAGCAATTTATTCAAATAACACTTTATTATTGGTTCGAGTAGTCATATTAAAATAAACACAATTATCACTTTATTAAAATAACACTTTATTATTGGTTCGAGTAATCATATTAAAACAAACGCAATTATCAATTTATTAAAACAACACTATATTATTGGTCCGAGTCGTCTTTCTGTTGGGTCCGAATAGTCTTTTTGTATGGTCCGAGTAGTCTATTTGTTTGGGCTGAGTGGTCTATCAGTTGGTCCGACTGGTCTTGAACCGGGTGGTCTTTGGTCCGAGTGGTCATGGATTCTTGTCGTAATTGTACTTGAATTTCCTATGCTGTCACCCCTAATACGAAATGATATCCTCCGCAGAGTGACGTAACCATCTTCCATATTGGTATTTTTCTCTGGGAAAAGTTTGTGATATTTCAATTTTTCAAGAGAGAACTTGTTTTCATCGTTGTGATAATTAGTTGTGCAATGGATTTTATCGAACGGGAGTTGATTACAAACACACAGGTAAGTTTATAATAACCAAAGTTAAGTAGTTTGTTCATAATCGAAGAAATCTGTTTAAAATTTACCAAGACTCAGACAGTAAGTTTCGTTAGAATGGGACAACAATGGTAGTCCCTTTGGAGGCCCTACAAAGTCAATGCATATTTCAAATTTTGCGTCAAAAGTAGGGGCTATAGCTCTAGAATGTAAGAACTCATCCAAGAACTTTTGATCCTTGATACATAGTTTAAGTTTCATCGTGAAAGGTCCACAAACTTCATTCATATTTAACATTTTGTGTAAAAGGCAGGGATAGATCCACACGAAAATTGAACTCATCCACGAACTAGTGGTACTCGTTTAAACTTTCATCATAATCGTATACAATTGTGACCTCTAGATGCTTTTATTATACTATATTAACGTAAAGGGGAGTGACTCAACCATAAATATGATGTAACGATGATATATTTGAACAGTTTTCAAAATTTGATAAAAAGTGTGATCTCTTAAGGACCCATCTAAAAACGTGACATTTCGTACAACCAGGGGGGTCATAATCCATAAAGTTACGGTCTAAAACGCGCCAATATCGTAAGGAACCCTGATCTTTGGGACATAAATATATAAACATTTGACATCAATACTGTTATGTTTTTTTTTTTCAGTAACCCAAATTACGACTATTATAGTTATCAACTATAATTACACTATTTGTCAAAATAAAATTGTAATATCTAAGATCAAAATGAACACGTTTTTAAAAAAATGAAAAATTAATATTTCCTAAATCTTTAACTTTACAATACAAAGTGTTGCATTAACTGAAAACAAATTAGAATTATATATTTTAAATCGGTAGGCCTATGTTTTAGATCGACATTCTGGCGTTGACATAGTGTTAGAGATTTATTTTAAAAAAAATCTTACCTGCGACAAATGACAAAATACAACTAAATATTAATAATAAAAACATTATCATTTGCATTCCTCTTTCTACAAGTTTCGAACCTTATTCGTTAAGATCACCTTGGGGTTGCTGCAGAAGTAACTTTGTTTTAAATGTACACGAATTTAACTTCCTATTTGAAGATCATGAATATTTATATCATTTAAATGTGTGTAAACCAATTACATTATTTAGATCTGGTGGTAATATTTATGTTCACGGCTGGCTGGTGACTGTGATTTAGTTTGATAAGTTAAAGATCTATATTAAAGAACTAAGTAGTAACAAGTGTTATGTACAACTTACAAGGTAGGATACGTCTATACTCTTACTGTACTTTTGTATATAAAAACAGATTGTCTGGTTTGTAGTTCCCATATACAAGCGAAATTCCTATTGTGCGCAAATCTGACCAGAAGTATACACAAATATCTAAAGAGATCAATTTTTCAATGAACTGCAGTATTTAATAAATAAAGATCTCCTGGTTTCCGTTTTAGGACACATGCCAAATTGCGATTTGTAATCTATGTGGCGGAGGTAGAAATATTAATATGCATCAAAAATAATAATAGTATGACTTGAGTTTATATGCAGGGCTTCCTATAACAACAATAAAACATCAATGGAATAATCAGTAAGTTGAAATAGAATGTGTATCTGTTATCGATCTGTACTTCAATAGCAAGGATAACTCGTGTTCCCATTTTTTGTGTCGCCTCCTAATTCTTCAAATCTTTGTTCCGGATCAATCGTAACAAAGATGTCCTTTAGCATGAGCAAATCGATCGTAAAAAGACTGTCCTCTAGCTTACACGATTGTTTAATAGGTTGGTTATTGTGATAGTTTAATTGTGATAACAAAATATAGTGGTGTTGGTATTCAATATGATAAGCTTAAATAGTTTACGTTATGTTTAAATACCTTAGTGTACAATTTAAGCTGTGATAAAATGTACCGGTGTTGCATGATCGCTGATTTAATAAACAAAAAGGAAAGGGTCTGATCAGAAGCCGTTCTTAAAGGAGCTAAGCTATTGGCAGCATTACCATCATGTCACTCGGCGCCTTACATGCTACACCTGTGCCCCGATAAATACAGCAAAAGGTTTAACAATGAACGGCAATGCACCATTTTATTTCTATCATCATAAAGTAATAAGGTTGTTACAACTGCGATGATGGTGGTGATCGCGATAGTGGTGACAGTAGTGGTGGTGGTGATTGGCTGAAAATACAGAGACAGCCTTTATAAGCACAGTACAAATATAAACCTAACTGTCTTATGTGACCTTAAAATTTCCATGATAAAATGTACAACCATACATACATATTTATCTACACAATATACCAAGTACATAAGAATTGTGAAATAACCACAAAAATAAGTTTTGGCTTAAACAAGTGCCACCATTATAAACAAACATCATAGTTTATGATAGGGCCTTTACCCAGCAACCATGCCGAATAGACGCTATAATGTGACAATTCTAAACTCTTGCAAAACCAGTAATTATGAATGTGACAACTAAAAACAGTAATATAAATACTTTCCCTGATTACTATACTCAACAGTTATATAATAATTTGTGTGCTCACCGTATTTTATGTCATCCCACAATGAAAATAACCGTAATAATAGCACAGCTTCATGGCAGCAGCCATGCTTCGTCAATGGCGACCTCTCAAGACACGGTCAACCAGACTCAAATTAGCATAGCAATTTACTTAAAGAGTAGAACTAAAGATTACATCTAAATTTAAGACTGGACATTTTAAATGAAACAATAAAACGAAATATTGATAATTTGCATCTTACACCCAATGTGTCTTTAAGCGGCTTCTTAAGAGCCAAAACTAAATGCGATAGCATGACAACTCCATCCACCAAGAATGTAAAAGTTTATGGCGTACGCCTGGCCCCGATCCCTAGAAAATTCTTAAGCACGCTCTAGATTTTAAGTAGACTTTGCATTTAAATAAACTTACTTATTTTGTGTTCCCAGAAAATTCTTAAGAACATTCCTGTGCTTAGATAGTAAGTAGACTTCAGGGTAAGCACAAGCACGCTCTTATGTGTTCCAAGAAAATACTTAAGCACAACTTTGTTCTTAAATATTGTCAATTTTAAAAAACAGAAAATCCTTTAAAAACATATTCTCGAGAAGAATGCTATTTATAGAAAATTTCGCTTCTACCCTGAAACCATTTTATTTATTTGCCAATTAGTAAACAACACAAACACAAACTATTTTAAGATCAGGCGCTCTCACAATTAGTCCGTCTGTTTGCATGTGATTGCGTTTTTTAGCTCGTGGCACATTTTATATGTGTATAGGGGACATTTCAAATGCATCTGAATCGACCATTTGCCGGGAAGTTAATGTCATTGATCTATTTATAACTCTATGCAGCCGACCAAAGCCGTATATAGATAGATAAAGGGCATCGACCAATGCGTTTCACAGACGATTACGAAATTCTTCTAATATGTCTGTAAAAGATGACTACCTTCAACACGTGACGTCTCATCACGCAGCGTCAATCATTGGCTCAATGGCGCGTGCATTGTTTACATGAGACCTTACTAGTTCGGGCAGAATGGAGTCTTTTACTCATTTTAATACCCATTTACACTTAATAGAAAACTAATTTTTACCTACAAATACGCCAAACGTCTTTATTTATTTGTCTTATACATAAAAAAAAAATGTTTTAGAATTTAATTTATCACCCAATAATACATTCTACAGTAGATATCCCTTGTGTAATATATTTCATTATCTACTGCGATATCTCCTTAGGAGATATCGCTTTACATGAATTTGATTGGTCAGTTGAAAAGGAACTACTTTTTTTTATTTTCAAAGAACAGTTCATTTATTATTAAAAGTAACTTTTTTTTAATTAAAAATGAATTATTATTATTCAATTGACCTTGATGGGAACACTGGGTCAATATAAAGGACTTTGCAATGGTTGAATTGCTGTCAAAAAATGATGTATCACTACGCCGTAATGTTCAGTAAAAGTGAAATCTACAGCAAAGAATTATATTTATCTATTTGTGCATGTAAGAAGGGATTGGGTGATAAATAAAATCTCCTACTCGTCTTTTTTGATATCAAAAAATATCAACACTCGTTGATATTTTTTTAAATCAAAAAAGACTGGTAGGAGATTCTCTATTTATCGGAGGAAAAGGTTAATATCTGTGACTCATTAAGTAGCATCGATATCATCCTTATCAGTGATTGTAGAGGCCTTGCGAATATTCACTGCTAAAATTGTAGTGGCCTAGCGAATATTCACTGCTGATCTATGTGGGCATTGACGTCAGATAGAGATTGACCTCCTATTCGCCAGAATTGCGTGGTACAGAAGCTGTGACGTCTGTTCAGGGAAGAAACCAATATGGCTGCAGTTTGTTGCTGTGTCTTCTGCTAAAAAATAATACGTTAAAATGGTCAGGTCTTGCTCTTCCATAAACTGTGTTAATCGTGACATCTTATAAATTAAAAAAAGGAATAACTTTCCATAGGTATGATAATATTACAGGGATCAGGTATAATGTTCAACTTCAACCTCAACAGGGCTGTAGGTAGGGTAGGCTAGAGACCGTACTTTTAACTTTAGTTTTATCGACTTGAGCTGGCTCTAGGCCAAATCTAGATTATATTTATTATAAACGAAAACAAAATCAACAATGAACCAAGGATGGGGGTTGGCAGACCAAAGTTAGGGCACTTTAGGAGAGGGGGCAGGATCGGGAAAATTTGAGTTCTGTGGCACATGGTAGAATCGATTTGGTGTCTATGTGAGCCATGACATATCATACATTGACACTTGGTTACGGGATTATGATTAAGTCCTAAAGATATGAACGTGAACATAGTTAGCTGCAATCAAGAACTAAACGACCTATGAGTAAAGAAAAACAAGTATCAACAGGGAATGGCATTCCTTACAAAGGGTACCTGCCAAGTTTCATTAGATTCTGTTCCCTAATGAGGGGAGGGGTAGAGGGTAGAATTGAAAGTAGACTGACAACCCCAAGAACGAGAAGACGATCAAGTTACTAGTTACACATTAGAGTTCACGGTGACGGTTAGCGTATTGGTCTTGAGTGTGCTAACCGGAAAACACTTTCCTGTCGCCCGTGTTGCAATTTCCCTGTATTCATTTAGATAAATCAATAAAACTACGACCAATTAATTGATTCTGAATATTATGGAAATATTATTCCGGCTGTGAAATCTATTCTGGAAGTCATCCGTGGAAATCATGAAAAACGGACATATTCTGTACGTACATAGAGTATGGTTGGTTTTTAGTATATCTGTAGGCTATGTGCTTGGAACATGGGAACGGCAGCAGACAAAGGGGCCACAATGTTTTATTTAGAGTGGGCTTTTCCTTGAGTTTTTAAGGTAACTTTGTCGAATTCGAGGGCACATTTTCGGAAGGGTGGGGGTGGGGTGGGGTGGGGTGGGGGATCATATAGCCACCTCCGCTCTCCACTATACCTTGGTAGGAAATCTCATCGGATTCGAAGGTTATCAACCATTTCCAGTTTCTTTTGTTTTTGCATTTATGAGAGCACGCCTCTGCAATGAGATTTTTTTCTTAGGTTACACAGAGGGGTGAACAATTTCAATGCTAGATGCTTTATAAATATGTTAGGTGTGCAAGTAATTAATGAGTGTCATCTATTTAGAGACACCAGATGACACTAGATTAATGTCCAGTCGTCAAATGTCAGGTCTTGACATGTCCAAAAAGTAGGCGTTGTAGCAGCGGTCACCGGTTATATCTGTTGTAATGGACGTCTGCTAGTCTTTCTTACAGACCATGTAAAAGACAAAGGTGCGCAAAAATTAATTTTGGCACCTCGACCGTCTAGACCTTGATACAGGCTCCTCTACTTCAATAGCGTTACAACATTGTGCAATAGTGAAGGTTGCGACATTTTACATAGTATTTTTCACAGAACTTGAAATCAGCTTAGCCGCCTTAATGACGCTCCCAATACCCGTTATTTCCGAAATAATGTTTGGCAGATCATTATCAAAATGGTTCACTGCATAATGTGACAAACAGGCGATAATAGAGACTTTTGGCAAGCGTAATTTCCTGGTCCGTATCGCGTATCCGTATGGATTTTGCGTGTGACGTCATCAATGTCTGTGTATTTCTCATACGTGATACGGCACACGGATACGGCAGCACGTATGGAACGGCTTTCATACGGAAATGGTCCGTATAACACTGTCGTCTTTTTTGCTACCTTTAGATGCTGAAATGTTGCATCATAGCGTTTTTATGAATCTATGTGTATCCTGGAACACGAAGGTGTATATTTGATGTGATTTTAACAGTGATAACGACTGCAATTGAATCATTATTTTTGATGGGTTTTTCTCGGAATTTTCATATTTTTCCCGCCTGTCTGCATACTGGTTGATCTATGGACTAAACTTTCTGAAATGATACATTAGTGAAACCAAAAATTGCTAAAATCTGCCAAAACTCTAAAACTACATTGACGCAACGTATCACGTATACGATACGGGATACGGATGGGAAAAATCCGCTTGCCAAAAGTCTCTACTGTATCCACCGTGTCTCAACGTTTGAATCAGTTTGTGAATTAAATTAGCAACGTGCTTCAATAGGCATGATCAGCTTCCGCAGTGACCTAGGTGTGTCCCCAGTCGACATACCCATACGCCGCTACCGCAGTGAACTGGGCGACACTCCAAATGAAATTTATTTGATACTCGATGAATGTCATTGTATTAGCTTTAAGGTAGGAGTATCATTAACCTTCATTCCCTAATCTGTAATCTAAATCCCTAATTGGAATTTCTCCTATATTGACACATGGAATCACTTAATCACTAAAATATGTAGGCTACAAAAAATGGATTCAGCTACCTCGAAAACGTATATTTTGCCACCAAACCTGATCCTTATGTAAAATTCGAACTTTTCCGCCAAAACTGTTCGCCATCTTGAATGACTCCCAATATTGACTCAGCGGTAACACTTATCACAAAAGTATGTATGAGAATGGATTCAGTTACCCCGAAAACACATATTTTGATACCAAACTCGATCACATTATGATAATTGGGTGAAAATTTGAATTTACCAGCCATTTTGAATTTTGGCCAATTTGACCCATTTTAGCAAGGATTTCGGGCTTGGACTTTTTTCTGGTGACAATATAGGTCTAGACCGACCATAAATCGTCGTCGGCATTTCTATTGCAGCAATCCATCTATCTACAACCTCAAATGACAAAGGAACAGTTTTCGTCATGACGTCCCCTTATGACGACATGACGTTACATGAAAACGCTGCACATCACTTAGAGTGACGAATTACTAAGATATTGGTATTATAATAGCATTGTTTTACACAACAACAGCATTCATAGAATATGAACAGAAAAAAAAGGGATTTAGTCAAATGGCGGCCATTTTGTTTGACGTCATATTTAGACCCTTTGCGGTAGCTCAATTTCAGGTCTAGACCATATACTACAGGAAACAACCATAAAACGTTTTGTTGCAATTTGACAATGACATTCAGTACTGTAACAAAGTTGAGATTTTGTATCATTTTATTGTATCACGCCCATTTCATGCAATTCAGGAAGCCTACATGACACATCTCTATATATATGTGTGAC